TAATTGTCTTAATTTACAACGTTGCTTTAATATCAACAGATCTTTTTTTTTTTTTTTCGGTTGGTAATCAACATTGAATTTTAGTTTCGTATCATTATAAAAAAAAACAATTTTTTTTCGTTCTTAATTAGTTTAATGAAAACATCATCATTGTGAGAATCAAAAAAAAAGGAGAGAGAGAGAGAGAGAGAAACAAACAAACTCTCGTATTCGATAGGAGCGAGTCCACCCCCCTCCATCCCCTCATTTCTCATTTTCAACCCTTTTTCCCTTTTTCATTTTGAAATAATTTATAAATACTTATCAATAAGAGAATTTTTCGCAGCCATATTGATTAATATATTATCATTATCATTAACATTAATTTTATAACAATTCAAAATGTTTTTTCGACAACAAACACAATTTATCCTAAAGGTCAAATTCAATAATTATATTTTTGGAAAAGTTTAACGATGAAAATTTTTTTTTTCTTTTAAAGAAAACTTAGGTCATTAAAATATTTTTATATCGTTAAAATCCCCCCCTTCACCCCCCTCCAAAAAAAAATGGCGATGATTAACGAACAAGCGAACGAATGAAAAAATTATAAAAACATCTCAATTAAAAAAAAAATTTTTTTTTTTTAAATATGGCGCGTTTTTGTCAAAATTTTTTTTTTCGCGCCATTTTTGAAATTGATGAAACAACTACAGAATTCCTTTATTTCGATATCTCGAAGAGAAAAAATTTCATTTAAATCTAACTTTATCGTGTTGTACATTGAAAAAGATAATTATAAGGTACAAATACGGTACAAATGGTGGCATATATGTGTACCATAATTGCCACAGGCTCCCATTTTTCTTTTTTTTTTTTTTTTTTCAATTATCACCGCGACAATATGGCAATACTTTTTTTTTTTTAATTTTAAATAACGTCCGTATCTTTAATTATTAAAATTTTTTTTTTCTTAATTTAATCGTCACGTTGCCATTTTTTTTTCTTCCATAGAGTAATAAATCATAAAGAAAAAGGTTCGATCGTTTCGTGTGACTCGTTAAATTAAAAATTTTTTAATTTAAACGTTTAGAATTTTTTTTTTTTAATTTTTCTTATCAGCGTGTTTGATAACGGTTGTTTTTAAAAGTTTTTGAATTATTTATTATTTATTATGTTAAACTAATATCTTTTTAAGCTCTAATACTTCCCTTTTAGCTTTATAAATTTGTTCTAGAATTTATCGGGGGGGGGGAGAAGGGAGTTGAGTGGTGAGTTATCGATAATAAAAAAAAACATCATCAACATTTCTCTCTCCCCCTCTTTTGTTTTAAAATATTTTTTTAAATAACATTAACAAACTTTCAAATTTTTTATATTATAAATTTTTACAATTAAAACAAATTATTATTATGATTATTATTATTATTAATATATTTTTTACGGTTAAAGAGAGAAGAAAAAAAACTTTTTAAATTGTTCTAACTCATGTAGAAAGTTCGAATCGATAAAAAAAAAAAAAGAAAAATTTAATTTATTTCTTTGGTTTTTTTTTAATTATTTTTTTTGTTTGTTGTTGTAGTTTGTTGGTTGGTTGTTTGTATTGATTAATAATATATATTATTCTTCTCATTTTAACTCATTGTAAACTTCGTTATTTTCTTTCTCTCTCTTTTTGTACTATCCCCATTATTTAAAATTTATGTTTTTGCCTACGCCTACTGCTTTCTAATCTAATTATTCTTTCTTCCTTATTTTTTCTTTTTAAATTATTATTAATAATAATGATAATGATAATAATATTGGCAAGTAAATAAATATCGATTTTCTTTTCTCTCATTTTTTACTTATACTTTATTTATATATCTCTATCGTAAGAAAAAGATTTATTTTTTATTAGTATTCTCAACGAATTCTCTCTCTCTCTCTCTCTTTCTTTCTTTATCTCAGTTTAATAATCAGAAATTTTTTTTTTCCTTTACACGACTTCCTCACGTTTCACTACTTCTTTTTTAATCGACCAAAACGAAAAACAATGAATGGGGATTCGTAATAAATCAAATTAACCTTAAAAAAAAAAAAAAAACTGTACCAGAAAATGGGGAAAATAAAAAAAAAAGGTGGGGAGGAGAAAGCGAAAGAAAGAGAGAGAGAGAGGGAGGGAGAGACAGGTAGGTAGGAAAGAGGCAAACAAAAAATCATGTTTTGGGGTAATTGGGGGGGGGAATAAATAGAGGAGAAAAGAGTTAAAGGAGAAAAAGAGGGAAACGGCTGCAATTGGAATTTTTGATAAATGAGTCAGGGAGGGGTAAAAAAGAAAAAAAAAACTCCTGAGGGAAAAAAAATATTTTTCTAACGCGTACGAACTTATATCGAACCGTGACGTATGACTGAAATTTTCTTATAATATTTGATTTGTGATTTATCAAAGAATTTTTATTACTACTTAAAGGGGTTTTAAAAAAAAAAACAATAAGAATATATTAAGAAAGAAAGAAAGAAAGAAAGAGAATTGATAGGAGAAGGAGGAGACGACGATAAAAGAGAAATGAGGAATAAAATTAAAAAAAAAAAAAGAGTGAATTTGTGTACAGAATGATTGACTAATTATTGTCCCACTAAGGAAGGCCCAAAAGACCACACAACAAGGCACGTGATAGCCACACACGAAGACATTACCAACGTCACTCAATTCATTTCCAACCACTTCATTTGAATCTTTACTACTCTCGGGACTCCTCAGGTTGGTTGTTCAATCTCTCAGGTTCACTCATTCTTCCTCCTTCCTTCCGTCGGAGCACACTACACTCAACTACTTCAACCGCTACTCTAAACTTTGTCCTCGAGTGTATCATCGGTGACCCAATTAATCATTGTTCGAACAATACTCGCGCGAGGTTTCCAATATGAAAATTGGATTTTATTATAAATTGGAGCAAAAGAGAAAAATGGTCGATTGGAAAAAACGGAAAGAGGAGGAGGAGGAGGGAGATGAGGGGTGGATGGGGGGGGAGAGCAAAGAATAAAATGACTCTTTCTTTCTTTTTTTTTTATGGTTAAAAGTTTTTTAATGGATGTAAAAAAATTATGTTTATTGACTCAATAAAAGCGTGCGTATAGATAATAGTTTAAAACTATAAATGTATAAGATTTTATTTATTTATTATTTTAATGGTTATTATTATTATTATTATTAATAAACTCGAGTTATTAAATTTATTTAAACTTTAATAAAATATAAGAAACGTTCCTTATTTATTTTTTTTCTCTTTCGTTTTCTAATAATAAAATTAATAAATATTATATTTTAACAAGTTAAATTAAAAAAAAAAAAAAAAATTAATTGAAATACCTTTGAGGTGTTTTTGTCGTTGTTGTCGTTGTCGTTGTTGTTGTTTGCCTAAACCTGAGTCATCGTTTGTTCCTTTACAAACTTTTCTCTCAACTTCTCTGGATAAATTATTAATAATTTATCTTTATGCTATTAAATACCTGATTCATGAATCATTTTCATTGGAAATAGAGCGAAAAAGATTTCGTCGTAATTAATTATTATTATTATTATTATTATTATTATTATTATTTACGTTTTTCAATACCTTAAGTTTTATAATTGAATTTTAAAATTGTTATTACGTGATAAGGTTATTTATTATCAATAATAATAAACAATGAAAAAAAAAAAAATTAAATTAAAATTGAGTCACTTTTAGTGTTTAAAAAAAAAAAAATTATTATTATTATTATTATTATTACTTCTGGTATGACAAATCGACAACAGGAACGATTCTCATAAATTTAAAAATGGGAAAACGGAGGAAAAGTGTCGGGGGAGTGGGCGGGGGTAAGGGATTTTTAATTAATAATAAGAATGCATAAAAAAATTTGATTAACGTTAATTAAAAAAAATTGTAAATATTTTGATAGGAAAAAAAAAATTTTTTTTTTTACGGTCATGCGAATTGTACTTAACGTTTTTTTTTCATCTGAACGGCGGGGGGGGGGGAAGAAGGGGAGGAAGAGGGAAGTAAGTACATAAAAGAATTAGTCAATTTGAAAAAAAAAAAAAAACGGGCGACGCGTTCGTTTTATTTTTTATTTTATTACCTTTTACAGGTAAATAATTTCAAGATAAACGAAAGAAAAGAAAAAATTAATTTATTTATAACAAAAAAAAAAAAAAAAAAGAATTTTTTTTTTTAAGTTGTTGCTTAGATTGTGGTTAAAACGCCCACGAATTCCCCATCCTCCCACCCCTCCCGCTCCCCCTCCTCCTCCCCCGAAAAAAAGAAGAAAAATGTTTAAGCAACGGATAAAATTCTGTGTGTGTAAGATTTGTGAAGATTGAAGTGCGATGTAATCGACAAGGCTGTGATTAAATTGACACCTACTCTCGAGATTTCGAGTACCTGCACGTGGGTTGTTGTTGTTGTTGTTCAGGTCAATCGTTTACCGAAAAAAAATTTTTTCTTTCTTTCTTTCTTTCACCCTTTTTATATATTGTTATTGTCTTTTCTCTATTTCAAAAATGGATACCTAATATTTCTAATTTCCTTAAGCACACACACACACACTCGCACACATCATTATTATTATTATTATTATTTACATAAAATAACGTGGGTTTTGAAAATAATAATAATCCATCCGAATTAGTCGATTGATATGTTAAATTTTCCTTTTTTTTCGAATCAAGGTTGAATTCAAGCGCTGGCAAACACGCACGCATGCACGCGCACACGCACACACGCACACAAACCTGAAATCAATTTATTAACATTTCATAAATAATAATAAATAATAAAAAGCGCACATCTCGCGAATGACAGATGATTCAAATAAAATAAACATTAATATTATTATTATTATTATTATTAGTTTAGAATAGTGTAGGAGGTGTTCATAAAACACCGTTGACAATCATTTATTATTATTTAAACATATGTATATAAATAATTTAATAATAAATTACGAGTATGATGATGATGATGATAATAATATTTTTTTTCTTTTTGTTACAGGAAGAAGTAAGTACTGAGGAAACGAGAGAAATTTCTATCACAAGTTGGTGGGTGAGAGTTAAAAATAAAAATTATTATTATTATTATTATTGAAACATTCGATAAATAATAATAATAATATGAAGAAGAAGAATTTGGATCGTAGATGAGGGGGCGGGGGGAGTTTTTTTAAAGAATGATTGATAAAGCCAAAGGAAAAAAAATTTTAAGAAATTAATTTTTGTTAAAATTTTTTTTTTTTTCATATGCCCTTGAAAATTTACAAAATGGCGCACAGTGACGTCATTCGTCTTCTGCCACTTTTTTTTTTTTAAATTTAAATTATTATCATTTTAATAATAATTTGAAAATATTAAATTTTAATAACTAAAAGAGCTTAATTAACAACATTTAAAAAAAAAAAAATTTTAATTAGGGGAAGGGGGTGAAGGAGGAAAAACGTTCGATCGTCATTACTCATTTTCCAACCCCCCATCCCTCCCCACACGATTTTTCTCCCTCATTTTATTTGTATGTGTAATTTAAAATTTTAAAGTTTTCATTTTTTTTTTACTAACATTCTATTATTATTGACTTTTACACAGTTTTCCAAAAGAGTTTTTAAGTTAATTTTCAACCCCTTTTCTTCCCCCCTCCTCCCTTTGCTTTCTTTAAATGATTAATGATTTTCTTGTTCGTTTACTTTTTAATAAACATTTTCTTAAAGTTTTCAACAAATCAAACTTAATTATTTACGCTAAAAAAAAAGAAAAAAGGAAAAATGTTTTTGTTTAAGAAAAATGTAATTAGATGTTTTTCTTTGGAAAAGTTGTTAAAAGAAAAAGAAAATTTTTTTTTTCTCTCTCTCTCTCTCCTGAAATTCATCATCATTTGAGTTATTCGAATTTTCATTTTTTTAAGAAAAAGTGAAAATAGTAATAATAATAATAATTTAGTAATTAATTTTTAAATGAGAAAGGAATGTGAGAAAATTGCATTGCAACGTGGGAGAAAAATTTCGAATGACGATTTTATGAAATTAAATTTTAAAAACGATTTGAACGTTTACTTCAACCCCCCCCTCCCACTATCCCTTCGGGAACGTTAGACGAATAATAAAATAATAATAATGATGAAATTTTTCTAGGCCCGAGAACTAGAAGATCTAAAAATAAAGATAAAAATTCAGATGAAAAACGACCGAGAACGGCATTTTCCGGGGATCAATTATCGAGGTTAAAACACGAATTCGCGGAAAATAGGTACCTGACGGAAAGGAGGAGACAAGATTTGGCGAGAGAATTGGGACTGAACGAAGCTCAAATAAAAATATGGTTCCAAAATAAAAGGGCGAAAATGAAAAAGGCAAGAGGAGAAAAAAATCCATTGGCGCTACAGCTCATGGCTCAAGGCCTTTATAATCATAGTACCATACCTTTGACTAAAGAAGAAGAAGAAGCGGCGGCGGCGGAACTCAGCGATTGAGCGGTATGCTCTCTCTCTCTTTCTCTCTCATTTTTATATTATTCAATGTCTTTATTCGTTAATTTCTTCCCTCCTCCTTTCTCTCTCTCTCTCTCTCTTATTATCATCTTTAACGTTTTTATTATCGCGGTGATGGTGGTGGTGATGATGTTGATGGTGGTAATAATTTAAAAACGCGATTCTTAATTTTATTTATTTAGTTTATCAACTCGTAACCCGATAACAAACAACAACAACAACCAAAACCTTTTGTTAAATATTTACGTCGGGGCAATAGACATTTTCCATCCGTCGAATGACTTCCAGACAAATTTTTTTCTCTTCTCTCTTTCCATACCACACTAATTACAAATAATTAAGTTCGCTAATGATATTAATCTTTTCTTTTTTAAATGACTTCATTATTAACGTGACCTTAAATATTTTATGGATGAAACACAAAAATCTTCAGACACGCACACGCACGCACACACGCAAACGCACGCGTACTTCTCATTTAAATTCATATTTCGTAATTGTGCGTAAAAAAAAAAAAAATCGAATGCGGGTAAGAAAAATAAAATGTAATGCGATACGCGGCGTCTTGTCTTGCTTTTCTCTCTCTCTCATTCGTATTAATTAATTTAGTCGCGAGAATTAACGACATTTTGACCATTATTATTATTATTATTATTTGAAAATATACATATATAAAAAGAGATTTGTACGCGACAAAATTACCTTTTGGCGCCAATTCAAAATCATTCAGTCTTATTTATTTTCCGCCAAAATAAAAAAAAAATTATTATTATTATTATGAAGTCAATATTTTAAATTCGAAATAAATTTAAAAAATGTGACGTAAGCATATGTATAATTTATAATGCAGTCATCATATAACAATAATTTGGCGCCCCATTTATGTGGCGCCCCAAACAAATTCGACTGCCCCCTTTTTTTATTATTAATTTTTTTTTTATGGGGGGCTAATTATTAATCGTATTAATAAATATTTGATTAAATTTTCACTTTTAATAATTCGATCGTTAAAAAAAAAATTTTTTTAATAAAACGTCATTTTTATTTTCCTTGACGTCGTGATCGTTGGTTGTTGTTTGTTCACAACGAAAAAGGAAATTTGTTTTTTTTTAAGTACCTGAAAACGACACTTTACAACCAACCTTTTTCGTTTGTTTGTTTGTTTGTTAATTTTAAATAATTATCTATAAAAATTATAATTATAAACATTAACATAATTACATGAGGAAAAAAATTTTTTTTTTCGACGTCGTTTTTGGTTTGTTTATTGTTTGTTTGTTGTTTGACTGGAAATCTAAAGATTGGTTTTAATTTTTTTTTTTTTTTTTTTTGGTTGTTGCACGAAAACCTTGAGGCTCAAATTTTTTTTTTTCATGCGATCTATCGAAGGAAAAAAAAAAAAACGCCCTAATGTCAACAATTCGAAAATTAAAAAAAAAAAAAACCGCCACCCGCGTTTATTTATTTCAACAACCTACGGCATTGTCAGCTATGATTTTTGATGTCGTCATTAAATTCAATATAAACCTTATAATAGTAATAATAATAATAATTAATTACCACACAAGAAGAACCGGATATTGCGTAATAGGTAGATATTATTAAAAAAAAACTTATTCCATTGTGAATTTTTAAAAATTAATAACAAATATTTTTTTTTTTTTCACGTGCCATTTATTATAAAAATTGAAAAAGAGAGGAGAGGGAAAAAGAGAGGAGGAAAAAAATTTCCCTGCATTTTCAAATTTTTTTAAAATTACGTGCTCATACGTAAAAACAACTAAGAGGGGGGAGTAAAATAAATAAATAAAACGAATCGCGTGTAATATTAATAATAATTTATTTATTTATCTATTTATTTATTATTTTTATTATTATTATTAATATTTTTTTTTACTATCAATATATATAATAAAATAATAGTTGAATCGAATATAATAACCGTCAATTTTCCCTTTTTTTTTATTACTTATTAAATTTTTTTTTTTTTATTTGATGGAAAAAATTCCGCCTGTTGTTCGTCTATTAAATATAATATATTATAAATAAATAATTTTTTTTTATTATTATTTATCTATTAATAGTATTATTATCTAGTGTCTTTTTATGTAAATAATTTTATTTATTATTGTATTATGTAATTATTATATATACTTTTTTTGCTGGGATATTGATTGTGGCAAAAAAATAAATAAATAAATAAATATTGTCAATAAAACTTTTAATAAATAAAAATAATTGAAAATTTTTTTTTTTTGGTTTTTCCTTACCCGTTCGTATTCGTAGGTAAAATATTATTATTATTACGCACCACTCGTTGAAATAACAATCCGAAATAATAATAATAATAATAATAATAATAATAATAATAATAATAATAATAATAATATGAGTAAATAAATAAATTTCTCATTAAAATTAGCGTTTTTTTTTTTTTAAACCACGAGAGAATATTAAATGAGATATTTTTTTTTTTTCGTTAATAATATTTTACCACCTGTCGGGTTAAAAAGTCTTCTGCTATGTTTAAATTCTCAGCAAGTGGGACTCTGATTATCCAAATAATAATAATAATAATAATCCTTCTTCGGATTTGAAATATCACTTATTATGCTTAACAACAAACGTACAAACGTACTACTACCCCACCTTTTGATCTTGTAATTAATAAAACAAAAATTTTTCTCTCTCTCTCTCTTTTTAAATTTTGTTTTATGATTTATTTCCAATTCATCTCTCTCTCTCTCTCTATTTATCTATTTCTAACTTTGATTTTTGTGTTATTATTTATTTCGTTAACTAAAAAAAAATTAAATAAATAAATAAATTTAAATAATTTATAAGAAAAATAACACAATCATTTGTTTAATACTCGATTTTTTTTTATTTGTTTAAACAATAAAAAAATTTAAAATAATTAAAATTTAAGATGATGATGAGAAAACGGTTTTTTTAAACAATCCACCATGTTTATTTTATTTTTTTTTCGAAATTTATATTTTTAATGAAATGATTGACGTAATTTTATTTTTATTTGACAAGTTTTTTTTTTTTTTTTTTTTTTTAGGTAAAAAAATTTGATACGAGAAAAATATTTTTAGGTTATGAATTTTTTTTTGCAAAAAAAAAAAAAATTAATTAATTTTTTGTAAAAAAAAGGGGAATTAATAAAAAAGCCTGGGGGAAGACCCCCCCCAAAGGTTGTTTTTGGTTTAGAATTAAGCCGAAGTCCCGAACCCGAAAGACAAAAAAAAACGTCCAAACGGAAAACAATAGAAAAGTTAAAACCCCCCCCGGGGGGGGCCCCCAAGGGATTTTGTCCTTTTGGGTTTTGTTTTGTTGATCAAAAAAAAAAAAATTTTTTTTTTTTTTTAAATACTTTTAATCGGTTAATTTCGATTTGTAAAAAAAAAAAAAAAAAAAAAAAAAAAAAAAAAAAAACATTCAAGAGCAAGTTGTAAATATGTGACATATGCGACCACCCAAGTGGACTCGAGTTTTTTTAACTTGAGAATCCGCCATTTATTATTAGCTTAATGAAAAGAATAAAAACGACTGTTTTAACGGTCGTTTTTTTTTTCTAAAGGGTTATTCTGATTTACGATGAGAAAATATTTGCGGGGGCGACGCCCCAAGGTATTAAAACCTCCCCACATTTTTATTATTATTTTTTTCTCTCTCTCTCTCCCCCCTTCTTAACTTTTGGGGGGTTAAAAAAAAAAATTTTTATTAATATTCCAAGTGCATAACAAATTCACAATAGAATCATTTTAATAAAATGGACAAAAAAAGTAAATTTATTTTAAAAAAACCTTAAAATGTTTTTATAATACTTATAAATATTAATTCAACTTATAATTTTTTTTTTTAAATTTTTTTATAAAAATTCTGATTATAAGATGAACTACGTCAACTGTGTAAATACAATAGGTTTTAAATTCTTTTTATAATTCTTTTTAAATTGTTTTTCTTTTTCTTTTTTTTATACAGCCCTTATGCAAACTTATCGAAGCAGGTCTTTCCATAAAATTTTTTTTCTATAAAAATTTTTCCAAAAAAAAAATTTTTTTTCTACAAGTCACTAATATATATATTTGTTTTGAACTAAAAGAAAAAAAAAATGAATTTTCGTCAATTGGAATACCTGAATATAAAATTTATGTTTGTTCAACAATAACAACAACAACAACTCGTTCGTTTGTTGATGAGATGAGACAAAATTAAACAAAAAAAAATTTTGTCGCATTTAGGAAAAGTTAATTCATGAGTCAGCGGAAAAAAAAAAATTATTAAAGTTTACATTTAAAGAAAATTTGAATTAATTTTTTTTTTTTTTTATATAAACTCTTAACCGACTATTTTATTATCATTATTATTATTATTACGTTTTCGAAAAATAATTTAGTTTTAAAAGAATTAGAAGACAAAAAAAAAAAAAAGAATTTTCTAAAACGACTCAACTATTTTCATCTTAAAAAAAGGAAAAGGAAAAGGAAAAGGAAAAAAAGTTTTAAATGAATGATGATAGTGAAGAATGTGAAAAACTGGGGAGGAGGGAGGAGGGAGAAGGGAAAGGGAGTGGGGGCCTGTGAAAATGTCAAGGGAAAGCAGAGATTTTAACTGTTTTCCTTTTTTTTTACTTTCTCACTCACTTTACTTATATTTTTTTTTAAAAAAAAAAAAAAGTTTTTTTTCTCGCTCATTTACTGTCTTGTAAAAAAATTTATAACTTAGCCGCCATTTAAAAAAAATGTTCAGAAAAAAAATAAAATAAATACTTGCTAAGTAATTAATTACCTTAATAAACTTCTTTTTCGCTACTTTTTTTTTTCTTTTAGTTTATTTTTTTTAAATTTTACGATCTAATAAAAATATTTAAAAAAAAAAATTGTTAATAAATATTTATAAATAATTGATAAATTAATTTTTTTTTAAAAATTTTTTCCCACTTTTTTTACGTTTTAATAAAAAAATAAAAAATA